AACTTAGCTGTTCTTTGCTGTCTTTCTTCTAAAGGAAACTGGAAGGACATTTATTGTTTCTGAAATGTGCTACAGGTACCATTTCAAGGCACCTGCTGCTCCCACATCTCTGGGTAGCCAGAATGAGGTCAATGAAAAGGTATAAAATGTGTAGTTACCCATATGCTGAGAGCAGTTGCACACTTGTTGTCTCTCAAACAATGAAATTCATCTAGTAGCACCATACTGAGAAGAGTTTAAAGTACAGAAAGGAGAGAGGAGGGGGCTCCATCTAGTCAAAGTTGAGGTAAGCCATGCATTGGAGTCACTTTAACTGAGAGAATGTCTCCATCATGAGCTACCCAGCTTCAAAATCTTGGGCTTGTTTTTATACCATTTTATACCATTTGGCAGTCAGGTTGGCTATATTCAGCATCTTAAAACTGATACCTGAGTTAGGAATTTATATATACGGAGGGATAAAGATCTAAGGAATGTGAACAGGAATTGTAAAAAAAAAAAAAAAAGTTTTGAAATGTTACCTATAGGAAAGGCAATTGTTTATTCATAAATAATAAAAAAAATCAAGTAGACAATCACAAGGACATTCTTTCCTTTAATATTTGACAGACTAACATAAAGTGATATTTAGCTGTTCCTCACCTTCACTAGAAGACATCAAACATATTACTATGAAGAAAAGAACGTTTAGATTTTATGAATGCCCCTTACTTCTTTATTGTCCTTATGGAGACGGCATTGGGAGGCAAGGTATCTTCCTTACCAGATGATTTTTTTTTTAAGATTGGATTAAACAAGCATCTCTCACAGACTGTATAAACATCCTTACTCTTTATGGTAACCCAGACAAATGGATCAGATGATCTTTGATGTCTTTAAGGTGTTCTTTGACTTCCAACATGAAAAAAACACACCCTTTTTTTTTTTTTTTTTTTTTCTCTTTACACTTTTTATCCTCTAAGATAAGCCAAGATCAATATCTAATTGCTACTTTGGAACAGATGATGATGAGCACTGGGATAAGACAAGTAAAGAGCCTTACATCTGAATCTAAGCCTATGGTCATTTAGGGGTCCCAATCATTAAAATACATATATATTTGTGTGTGTGTGTGTGTGTGTGTGTATATGAATATTATATGAATATATACATAAAGATGATGGATACATCACAATCTGGATACATCAGTGTTTATAAACCAACAGTCTTCTTTTACAAAAAACATTTGTCTTTATGAGACAGCCTTGTAAGATTTTCTGCCTTCACCTTTGCATCTTTTTTGGACACATTTCCTTTTGAGCATCTAGCCTATAGATTTTCTTCAGATAAAAGGCTACTTGTTTTCCATCTGTTCAATAATTCAAACATACACATCAAATGCACACACTACATTTGCAGACAGTGACATCCCCTTTCCTTTCTCCCCTTTTGCACCCAGGCAATTAGCATCTAAGCTGTGAGAAGATGACACGCTCCCAACCACCTCCATGGTGCATCAGCTTCCCCTGCCTCTTTGCAGACCTTACTGCATTGGGCACAAGCAACCTCTTCATCATCCACCCAACCCCTGGCTGGAGAGCAGAGTGAGGAGCAAATCCTGGCATCATTGAGGACTTGGCCTTGCTGCAGCATGAGTTTAAAGCAGATGTGCACACATCAGCAGGTTACATACAGTGCTGGCAAGGAGAGCAAATGTGTGGTTGCCATGCATTTTTGGGTGCTTTCCACCCAAAAATAATGTTTGCCCCTAAGCTCTGCCTCCTCTTTCCTCCCTACCCCTTCATTGACTTTTGCCAGCCTGATATCTTTACAGTTGCATCCTCATTACTGGGGAATGGAAAAACAAGGGTGCAACCTTCATTGTGCTAATATCCTGCAAGGAGCCAGACCTGGTCAACTGCCATCCCCTGGGAGGGACTGCGGTCCCCCCACACCAGAAGGTGAGCATCAGTATGAAATGCTCATGGGGAAGTGGAAGGGGATGGGAATGATGCTTTCCATCCTCCATGGCTATGAATTTCTTTTCACAATTTCTGGTTTCCGTCTGCTGTGTTTTTGTCCTTTTCACAAAAACCAAGGAATGTGTTTCACAGAGTCACAGAATATTCAAGGTTGGAAGGGACCTCTAGAGATCATCTAGTCCAACCCCCTGCTCCAGCAGGGACACCCAGAGCACGGGGCACAGGGCGGCATCCAGGCGGGTTTGGGAGATCTCCAGAGAAGGAGACTCCACAGCCTCCCTGGGCAGCCTGTGCCAGGGCTCTGTCACCCTCACAGGAAAGAAGTTCTTCCTCAAATGGAGATGGAACTGCCTGGGTTTCAGCTTATACCCATTTCCCCTTGTCCTATCGCTGGCCACCACTGAGAACAGCTTGGCTCCTTCTTCCCTATGTTCTCCCTTTATGTACTTATATATGTTAATCAGCTCCCCTCTCAGCCTTCTCTTCTCCAAGCTAAACAGGCCCAACTCAGTCACCATTGGGGATGTCAAGGACAAAGATTAGAGGAGACACTGTGAGGTAGCTGGAAATGATACATCATTTACTGACTCCAATTGGAAAATTTAAGAAACTTCAGCACGAGAATAAAGTCCCTCCTCCCTCTGCCCGCCACCCTCCCCACCTCTCCCACCTCCCTCTCCCCGCCCCCAAAAAAAAGGCCTCTTGGAAGAATATACAAAGGATCGTGAGCAGGAAATAAAAAGGAGTTTAAGAAAACAACTGTGTAAGAAGAGAATAAACATACCAAAAAAAATGCAATAAAAGGCATGGGATTTGGGGAAAAAACTGACCTCGATTAAATTGACGATTTTCACTAATTCAATATGCTGCTTTCTTTCAAAAACAATAACAGATGCAAAAATGCAACATTTGCATAAAAATGATGCAGCAGATACTTACACAGCTATAGAAGAGGCTCTACCTAAACTCTAGGCTGAGTGCAGGCAAGTGATACTAATTCCTTTAAAAAGTGTTTTCTTTTTTGAAAACATAACCTATGACGGCATTCATATTGATGTAAATCTCTATTTCTCTAATGATTCAGTGCAACACTTTTTGATAATACCTTGGGGCAATATCTTCCAAGGGGAAATTACACTTCGTATTTCCTTTTCAGTAGAAATGACTTGCTTTTTAATTTAATTGGTTTTCTTTTGCTTCTGCATTATAATAAAGGTATAAACGGTATTATCCAAACTACTTTATGCCACTTAGTACGCATATATCATATTAATACCCCATTTTATTTGTTCTCTTTTAAAATGGCATAATCCAAATTTGTATATGCATCACAAAGCCATTATTTTGGGGGGAACCAGACTTATAAAAAAGGAAGCTTCTAAAATGTGGTGCAGTTGACAGCTCCATTTGTACCAACTGTGTGAGACTACAGGCCCAAACAAACTTTGCTTTAGCATATTTAGCTCTTGGAAGTCTTTGGCAGGCCACAATCCAAGCAGAATTGTAGATGAGTCTGGAAAGGAAGATTTTATAAAGCTGCTACTGCCACTAGTAGAAGATTTGCAACCCAAATAACACCATGTGCAGAAAGTTTTCTCCCTTGATCCTAAACTGATCTACACTTGATTGTAATTTTTCTGCATCCCTCTGAACACAAGAACATAGGCTTTGCCCTAAAGGACCGCACCAGGAATAAAAAGCTCACTGCATTCTTAAAGCCTGAGAATGACACAAATCATTCAGCGGTTATGCAATTACTCTGAAAAGCTACATATTTTGAACACAGAGCTTTCACTCAGCAGTGGCCCCAGGCATAGCAATCGGCATTGTGTCTCAGCTATCATCTCGGCCAGTCTCACGGAGGGCTTTAGCTCACTACAGAAGATGAGCTGGCATTACAAAAAATATTACCAACTCAGGATAGTTTGAAATAGCAAATAAAAATAGTCTTGGATATCTCTCTGTCCCTAATTTCACCTTTTTTAACTTGAGGTTTGCAAGCCCCTTTCCCTACAGGATTCACACAGACTAATGGCACACTGAATGACTGCACAGAAGCCACCATAAAAACAATTAAACTCAAAGTGCTGTCAAGTAAACCAAGAGAATGAAACAGGGCATATTCCAAACAACAATGACTTTTGAAAATTATTATTTAGAGGCAGACAGACTCCCACAGACCCTGACTGCGCTCTGCTACCAGGGTTTGACTACCTAGATGGAAAAGCTGGTTTCTATTGGTCCCTCCCACCCAATTTCTATAGAAATGCTGCCTTTGAAAATAGTAAGAAATCATTTTTTCTCCGTTATATACATGTATAGTAAAACATATTGAAATGCGGAGATGTGTTTTCCACCCTCTAAATCACTGTGATCTCAAGCCACAGTGCTTATTACACTAGCAATATAGCTGACAAGGATATAACATTAGCTATACTCTCCTCGGCATTTCTTGCCATGCTGACAGTGTGGGAGTCGAGCCACTATTATTCTGCACCTTTTACAGTCTTTTAAAAGACCAACTTTTTTATTATTATTATTTTCTTAAACTTTCTGTGAACCAGAGTTCCTCCTGACCTGAAAGTCTCAGTAATTCTTCCAATCCCTTGTTAACCATACTTCTAAAAACAATTACAGTTGTAGCTGTGGGATGGCTGATCACATATTTAGATCACATATTAGTGACACTGGTGGGAACAACCGATTGCAGGTCCTTTTTAGATAACGCTGAAATACATAGTGATGAAGTGATAACGACTTACAGGCCCATTTCTTTTCTGCATTTTTTTTCAACTCTATAAACAATCTATCGCTCACTTCAGAGGAAAGACAAATGATTTATTCTACATATATAATATAACAGAACAGTGTTATGCCCTAAACATTTTGCAAGAAATTAAAATATTGTTTTTCCTAAGACTTGCTCCAGAATAAAAGTAGATTTTACTTTCGTTTGTATATGTTAAAAATATAAAAGGTAGCAAACAGGCACAGCAGTCTACATGCTGAAGTAGTCAGGGCACAATGGAATTTACAGACCTTTACAAAAGCAGGTAACTTCTTAGTAGCCCCATTGCTGTATTTCCAAAATAACGTCACAGTTTCTTGTAGGCCATCCTACAAGAAGCAGAAAGAGACATTATAACTAGAGCATTTCTGAAGGAAATTAAGATAAGATCAGCTTGCTCCTTGGATATCAACTGCTAGAAATGTAAAATTGTTTTAGAGATGTCAAAAATTTTAAACTGGGCAAGCAGTCAGATCATAAGAATTATTTAAATACAGTGAAAAACAAGTTAAATAAAATTCAAAATAATAAGTTTTTTCAGACATGTTATTGAAATCAGTCTTAATAAAAAGACAATACGAGTTCGACAAAAAAAGAAAGAAAAAAAAAAGAGGATGCTGCACCAATTTATATTCCCTTTGAACTGTCTGTAAGAGAGACCTTAAAGTACATTTTCAAATATATAGCATATTAAAGAAGTAGACATTTCTTTCTAGCCATGGCACTTCTAGACTTTTGGTAAATGAAGCCAGAAACAGTCTAGTGGAACTGTGCTGTGTGATAAAGCACGTACTGATAGGTTCTGCCCAACATCAGTGAACAATTGTTCTTTCTTTTAACCAAAGGAAAGAGTTTCAGCAGTAAACAAATGCCTGGCGTCTTCAACGATTTCTTCTGGAGTGTCAAGGCAAACCTGCCATTTCACATCTCCTGCTGATGCTACTTAAAGTCAAAATACAAGTTCTTTTACCGAAGATGTAGCAGCTGCTATGTTTTCGATTATTACGACTATGATACACAAGGGTAAATCCAATACGCTGTAGCTTTCAGCTTTAATTCCTCCTGGAATCCACACCAGTTGTTGTAACGATAATTATCTGGGTATCCCCAAGGCCAATTTTTGCCGTTTTCATATAAAAATCACCTCTTTCATAAGACATGAAATTTAAAATCGTCCCCTTCACAGATATCATTGAGTCACTCCATTACCTCTGGGACAGATATAAATTATGCATTCTTTGATTCTCTTTAAAATTTTAGATGTGCAGGGGGATGCAGAAGCATCTAAATGATACTAAAAACACAAGGCATTCAAGAAAGAAACAATAACTTGTATGGTATTAACTGCTACAATGCTCCGAAGGCTCCCTGCCTGGTCAAGAAAAGCACATGAAGCACTGAAATATAACAGCAGGCTTGCATGCTAATGGCTGCTAGTGACAAGGACTCATTGAATGTCACTGCTTCAGATATTGCGTACTGTTCATTTTTCTTATCTTTGTGACCTCTCCTTTGAAATGACTGATGAAACGCCTGTGAATTAGCATCTCTGCTTCTGGGCATTCGCCACCAAGAAGGTACTCCGTTACATCTCTGCTAAAATAAAAAGGAAAAAGGAAAAAGGAGGAGGAAAAAGAAATCATAATCTTAACAAAAAAAAAAAACACCCCACAGTCTTAACTAAGAATAGTCTATTAAAGAGTGCTTGGTGTGTACTGTAAAAGGTGTGTATTTTTCTGAAGCATACTCATCAGGGTAGCTTTTACCTCAGTGTCTTTTAAGAGCATTGGCTTGTCACAATACATACATGCCTATTGCAGGCTTGGCTAACGTTTTCATAATTGGTGTGAATAAAAAGGAATAGCTGCTATGACAAGAAAAAAAATGACATTTCCCTGTTCTAATGCCCTGCTGCTATGATGACCTATTTCACACTAGCATCTGCTCTGTTCTGATGAACCACTCCAGATGTAAGCTGGTAAAACAGCACTGCAAGTATGTTAGCCAGGCATGCACTGAGTGCTGCAGATGTTTTGTTCCACGCTTCATATTTAATGTGTGTCTGATAATTTTTTTATTATGGTTATTTAAACTAGTTAGTCTACAGAATTTCCTATGAAGTTGTCAAAATCTGGGAACCAATCTGTAACTATAAAGAGTAAGTTCCTTTGTGTTAGCATGTTCATTAAAATCTAGAAAAACAAGTCAAAAGAGCCTGGTTTTGAATTACCAATGCAATGCAAACTTCAGCAATCTATTATGCCTTAATACTACTTGCCTGAGGATTTAACATAATACTCAATTTCAGGTTCAAAATTATAGATGTTTGTAATATTTAGATGCATCAGTCTGACCAAAAACATTATGCCCCTTCTCTGCCTCAAGCCCTTGACCTGAATGAGGTTAGTGACAGGGATATGAATGGCTTGAGCAGAAAATGAAACACAAAAGTAGCTTTACTGTGAAGTACAATATTTCTTCTGTCACTTAACCATTTTTTTTTCCTCCTCTCAAAATTAGAGGGTAGACTGCAAATCTCCAAGGCTAGCAGCTGCTATGACAGCCTAAGTGCCATTTAAAAGAATAATAATTTATGAGTTGCCTTGGTAGAATAGCAAAGGTCACCCAGATGGGTCCCCAGGGAGAGGTGGAAGACAAAGGTTACGAAGATGACTAAAGACTAGCCTACAGGAAGAGATTTTCTTGGATGGAAGATGCTTTGTTACAGCTGCTTCATGCTACCAAACATTAGCCTAGTAGTCGCATCCTAACACACAGCTCTCCCTAAAGATGACTGTAAGATGTTGCTTAAGAAATATGCTTCTGAAATGGGTGACCAAGCATGTTTGGCCACATACTCATGGACCAATGAATCACAACAGGACACTTAGCAGTAGGTTTGAGGTCATCTTGAAAAATTGCCAAAGAAGTCCTTGCAATACAGTCCCAAAATAAACGCCACTTTTGGGGGTCAGGCAGTACCATTTTCAGATTTCTAACAGATCAACACAGATTGGTTCACTGTTTCTTTCAGCAGCAGTGTGAAGAGCCAGTACATACACAGGCTAAGACACACAGCTGACACATTGCTTCTAGGCAGCTGTAAATTTGCACACCAGCCGTCGTGCTGCACAGCAGGTTGGGCTGCTTTTCCTTGCCACAGCTACAGCATTCCCCCCTTCAGCTGCAGCAAGTACAGAAAAAAAAAAATACAAGGATGAAGACAAGCAGGAACAACTCTTCTTGGCACAGCTTCACTCCGTGCAGCATCATTTCTGGGCTCATAAAATAAGCATTAACTGATGGGAGAAGCCAGTGTCGCAAACCTGGGGGTATCCGGCAGAGTCTGCAGAACATCGAAGCGATAAAGGAAAGCCTAACCTGGAGCCAGCGGGCAATACAAGGCATGTCTCATCTCCTCAGAAATATGTGGCCAAAACCTCTTTAAGAACTGACAGTTTCCAACCGCTCCTGATCCGTTGTGAAAAGTTTCTGCTGCCAGATCAATGGCTGGCACTTGCAGGGGAGGTCTGCATGACTCTAAAATGCACTGATGTAAAATTCACCCATCAAGGAGAGCCTATTGATCACTTAAGAGTGTAAAGGATTCCTCATTTGTTGTAGAACAAACTACCAGAGCCCATTTTCCTGCTATTTCATCTCCATGCCAGGCCTCGCAAGTTCCTAAGCAGTGGCGCTGAGGGATGGATAACCATTCAGGTATGTTAACCAAAGGTAATTTTCAGAAACTCTCATCTGTTTTCTGTATTCAAATAGGTCTATTTGTTGAAGGAGACTAATGCTCTGGGCACTACTGGTGTCTGTATTCTCTTGTTCTGGCAGCCGCTTGTCTTTTACCACGGCTGATGAAGCCTTTTTCAGATCATAGAAAATTTTTACAACCCCATAAGCGTGGGGAAATGACAGCAGAGTGTGCCTTTGGGAGACAGGAGGGTGGAAGGTAAGCGGAAGGCGGGATGCAGCAAGAGCAAACCTCAGATTATGACGGTATGTTTTATTCTGCGTATCATCTGCAGGAACAAGGAAAAGGGAACTTAATGGCGCAGGAAAACTGCGGACACGATGAATAACCAACCCACAAGACGTCCCCTCCCAGATGAGGAATTTGCAGGGCATGTCGTCTGGGAGCCCTCCTGAACCTGGCCGGGAAAGGAAAACAGTATTTTCGGTGTGTGTTTTGCCTAGCACTTTGCTAGCACTCAGCACAGCAACTCCTTCACAGCGCCAAATCTTGACGGGCTCCATGTGCAGGGTTTTTATACTCTCTGGTGTTGGTTTTGAGTGCTCCGTCTGCCTTTATTAATTTTAAACAGAATGGGGGGATGTAAATTCACCATTGGGGATATGTCAGTGTTTGCTCAACATGCTCTGTATACCTTTATTAATTTTGCATAGAATGGCGAATGTGATTTCACTCTGGGGGAAAATCCGTGATAGCGGAAGGCCTTTCCCACAGCAGGGGAGCAGTGGGGAAGGAGAGACTATTTCTCTGTGGGCTTTATTTTTGAGTGATTTGTGCATTTTCATGGCTTTCTGAAGTTGAGGAACTTGTGCTTTCATGAACAGGCAGTTTCAATGCCATGACCTACTGGTCTGAAGAGGTTGATTACCTTAATGTAGCATTTGTTATGCAAGTCCTAGAGCTTATGATACATTTTAAAAGCAGCAGATGATAGCTTTTTATTGTGTAGGAAGAGTATGTGAAGGGGGAGAAATTAAAAAGCCTTCAAAATTAAGAACAAGACTTTTTTTTTTTTTCTTTTTTTACTAGTACAAGTGCTTAAGAGCTATATAATCTACAAAAGGCTTGGTGTGTGTCAAAGGTTCAGAAAACTTAACTTTTGGCTCATTGCAAAGATTGCCTTCAGTCTGTGTGACCAGCTTGGTAAGTCGTCGTTTCTGCCCCCACAATTCCTGGGCTTTGAGCAAGCTAGTGCTTGGCATGGAGTGTGTCGGGATGGACACTTGGCTGCCTGGGCTGCTATTCCCCTGGTTTTGATAGAGATCTTTCAAGGAGTTGCTCCCTTGTGAAGACATTCACCAAAGACCATCGAAATTCAAGGCTTTATGGGTTCCAAAGGAAAAACATATTTTTTTGACAGGTGTGGGAGGGGTCTGTAGGGACAATATCTATAACAATCTTTGTTACCTACCTTTAACTCACACAGCAATGCTGCACAGCATCATTGCAAATCCCCTTTGCTTCTAGACTCCGGATCCTTATATGTCTTTATTTCATCAGCATCATGATAATAAAGGTAATGTCCCCTCACTGTTCTCTTTGTTTTTCTGGTAAAAAAAACTACTA